TACTTGTTCCCACTTATTGCTGCTCCCCACAAGATATTTACATTTGGAAAGTAAATGAAATGTCAAAATATTTCTTACAGTGAGAATTAAATGAATACTGGAAGATACATGGAGGGTAGAGTAAGATTTTCCATTATGAGCTCAGCCAAGAGGACAAAAGTTGAGCTGACGCCTCCCCCACATTCCAACTTCCAGCGACAGCTATAGCTGTAGCTGCAGCTGTTGTTATGTTTGTTATTGTAGGCACAGGTAGGGCATGTAGTTATTTGTGGATTTAACTATTTAATTATTCATTCCTGAGTTTAAGAGTTTCCTTTTTCTTCATTGTGTCAAGCTAAGTGGGGAGTTCCCACTCCCCACCCCTCCACCCCGCAAGTTTTTCTGTCTTGACAGTTATTTTTCTAACCTCCCTACACTCAGTTTCCCTTGCTTTATCTTAGCAGATGACCATTTCTGCAGGGACTTGCTGCTATCCCTTCTTCATCTAGGGTCACATCCAAAAGAGGAGTTAGGATATAAAAATCATCTGGCTATTGAGAAAAATGAAAGTGCATTTTTATTCAAGAATAGTCTCCCAAATTTAATTGTGCAATTAATCACTTGGTATACATAATATGTGTACATTCACAGAGATTTGTGGAGACAGCCACAGCTATGACTGCCTACGCACTAGTCATTGCATTTAGCAATTTATTAACCTATACTGAGAGCCCACTAAATGCCAGGCACATTAGTAGACACTTAATAGACACTGTTCTCTGGGGAAGATACTGGCCATTGCATACCCCAAATCCAGTCTGGTGTCTTCATGAACAGTGTCCTGATTTTCTTTCAGAAAGTTATGTGTCTGGCTTAAAACAAAACAAACAAAACAGAAAAAAAAAACCAGTGTCTCAGGCTCCCTTGCAGCTAACAATGATATAAGTCTGGACATTCAGAGGTCAATGGAATTCTACTGGGTAGAATTTCCAGGAAAGTAAGGTCAGAGGAAAAGAGTCCATTGGTACAAGTTCCAGGAACTGATAGGAACATGGCTATGGTGCCCGATGCCTAGTCCAGCTAACTAACTTGTAAGTAAAAAGATAGAGGCTGCATATGACGGAGAGAAAAGAAAGATAAAAGGAAACTGGATTCATGTTACAGAAAAGAACCACCTACATCAGTTTCTTAAGAAAGAAAAACAAAGCCACATTTGTATAACTTACTATTTCTTGGGTTTTCTGTTACATGCAGCCACATACATGTATACGTAAGTTATATAATTATGGTTTTTAAGCATACTGTATGACTATATTTGTATAGTCAATTATAAATCAATTTCATCTTTAGTTGCTTATCAGTTATGAAACTGGAGATAAATTAAATTGACTATTTGCCCAGTTAAATGTGTTACTGAAAAAAAACCCATTTAATTCGTAACTTCTAAATATCGGAACAATGGATTTGGGAACTGGAATTCCACTCATGATGAACAGGACTGCAGATTGTATGTGATGTATCCAGACACTGATTTAGCATTTTTGATTTAATGATTTAAAATGGCTCTACAAACACAAAGGTTAGATATTCTATTCCTTTCTTGTAAGAACTCCACTGGAAAATAAAATTTATTGGATATTTAATGAAATCATAAAATGTCTTTAGGCCTATAGGAATTGCCATTCTTTTCCTTGCCTATCCATATTTTCTAAGTTTCCAGTAAAGATTATGTATTGTATTCATAATAATAAAAAACCATTTATTTTTTGAAAAGAACAAATACAACTGAAGAATCAGCACAAGAAAATTGGATCAAGATAGCAAAGTGCACAAATCGCTTTTTCCTTCCTCTGCAATCACTCCAAGTGTCAAAAGAGATATCTTTTTAAAGGAGTAGATCTGGAAACCACTAAATATTTCCATTAGCAGAACAGAAATTGTTGGAAGCTCCTGGCAGATAAAAAGCAGGCAAGAATGGTTTGATAAGAGTAGAGGAAAACCTCAGCCTGCAAAAAGGCACAAGAGAAATATGTGTAGAAAGTAAACGCTGATGCAAAAAAAGCCCATTTGCAGAATGAAAAAAGAGCAGGGAGGCACTCCCAGCTCACAGGGCAATGACCAGAGCAATTGTAAGCTGTTTTTCTGAACACGGACCAGGCAGACCCTTTCCTCCCTTGAACACCAGGGAGTGGGCAGCAGCTCACTCTCGGCGTCAAGTGACCACCTGCCTCAGCGGCGGTGGTGCTGTGCTAGCAGTGTGGTGGTCGTGGACAGGAGGAAGGTTGAATTGCACTTCCCTTGGGGCCTCCTAAAAGAATATGGACAGGAATTTAAACAGGGAAGGTCAGTTTGCCTATAAAGGAGCTCTTGTTACTTTAGCATTGAGGCCATATGTATGTTTCAAAGTGAAGTGTGACAACTGACACATTACACCATTTACACAGGCCCAGACGCCTATTCACAGGAGGATTCTTGGGAGAAAGCAGGTCTACACAACTGCCATTGTCTGTGTCAATCAATCAATCCTTCAGTGATAAACATAAGCCCACACTCAAGTATCAAAGTCAATTAAACAACAACAATCATGCTAAAAATAAACACAAGACTCTGAAGGAAACATAATTTCAGGAAAAGAAGAGAACTTTGGAATTTAAGGTTTAATGTATTTAATACCTTGAGCGTGCTGGGAGGCTGCTGCAGCCAAGAGAGGAGAACGGAGTGCTACAGTGGAAGGGCAGTCGGGGCAAGGCGGGCCCTCAGTGAAAAACAAAACAGAACAGCGTGACTGTTAAAATTTTAAAAATGTAAAAACTAACGAAAGGCATAAGTATTAACACAACCATGGCCAAATTACTGATATAATACATGAAGTTGAAGAGATAGCCAAGAATGCAGAACAAACCCACATACGTACACACAACCTTGCAAAGTATGAAGAGAGCATTTAGCAGACACAGAAGTTCATTCCAAAGAATGTAACAATCATGTAACACGAGTTTCAGAGGGAGATAACTGAGAAAACGAAAGGAATAAATACTTGTTCTAAATGTTAGAAGGAAATATATAGAACCTGAAGAATGAACTAGCTCTGAGATTGAAAAGGCTCACTTAGTACAGACCAGGATGAATTTTTTAAAAAGGTAAAGCTGGTAAAATTTCAAGTTTCCAACAATAAAAATAAAATTCACAAAGTGTCTTATCTGTTATACAAAGGAATAAGATTGATGGAGACGTTGTGCTTTGCCACAGCAATGGTACATGAGAGAAGATGATGGACAAATAAATATCTTCCAAATTATGAAGGAAAATGATTTTGAGCATAGAATTTTATGTATCAAAAGTAAGAAAACAACAAGCATTATCTACCTGTTTTCTAAATTACTGAATTTATATCTTCACTAGGTAAGTATACTGGGTCGAATTCATATATCTGAGATTAATATAAAATCTCCTTATGAAACTTATCATGTTATATCTTCACTGAGAAAGTGAAATGGAAACTGTTAAAGAAATAAATAAAAATTGGAAGAGACAGGGAGACAGGGAGAGAGTGAGAGAGGAAGAAGAAAGAGGAGGGAGGGGTCAGGAAGGAGGGGTGGGGAGGGAAGGGAGAAGAAGAGAAACATGGAAGAAGAACAATACCACCACACAAAAAGAAAGAGACAGACTAGGACAGAGACATAGAGCAAGAGAAAGTGGAAGGGAGGAATTGATGTTTATGTTGTCACACTCAAATCAAAAACTGAAAAAGTTCAGGTACATTCCCAAGAATTTTCCAAGTTTCTTTACTTGCAGAACAGATGCTGAATTTTTTAGGGAAAAAACCTATGAAGATGTTTATGAGACCCTATATATTGTCAACATATAATGCAAGTAGATCATTTCCATCACTGTAGAAAGTTCTAAAGGCTAGTGTTATTTCTAGGACACTGTTAGCACAAATGCAAAGGTTAACTGGGCCTATGTGAGCTGCCCTGGCAACTATCCAATGTGATTAATGTATCTAAGAGAAGATATGATTTACAACCTAAAGTAACTCAAATTGGAGACTGTCTTCAGCCATGACTTCTACTCAATATCCTTGAAGTTTTAATTTATGTCATTATTGATATTACAATTAATCAGATGAGAAACCTAAATCAGAGTGATTAACTTATCCCAGGCAACTTATCAACTGCAGCTGAATATCAAATTTCCTTTTTTCTATATACTAATTACTCCCAAAGTTCCAGGAATCCTATCTGCATAGAATCTAACATAGGACCTTGCACAGAGTATGTATTCAATAAATATCTGTTACATCAACAATGCAATTATTGCAATGCAACATTGCAGCAATGCAACAAATAAATGATCAAATACATTGCAAGGCAGAGCTAGCAATAAAACAAACAGACATAGGAGAACATGACTAACAGCCCCAAAAATGAAACTGTGGCCATGAAATTGCTAAGGGTAAGCTGGAACTTCAACCAGCCATTTCTTATAAAACTTGTGATATTTCCCTTACGGTTTTCTGAATCATTCTCTAACCCACTTAATTAGTGCTGGTATCTTTCTTTCTTTCTTTCTTTTTTTCTTACCATTTTAATTTATCTGAACATAAAGGCTACTCTATCCACTGTCTCATCCCCAGCCCCATTAAACCAAACCTCCTGGGCCATACTTAAGTCCACGTCCCTGGACTCCCTTACCTGACCACAGAGTTTCCATTCAGTGCTTAGATTTAAGTAGAGGCTCTGTGTATCCTATCCACAAAGACTTGCTCCACTGCTAAAGAAGCTACTCTCCAATCTCATCAAAGAAGGGGATGAATTTAGTATTGATGGATATTGCAGTTTGGAAGATAAGGAATAATCACTAAAGTTCAAATTTCTAAAATTTTGCGCTGTACTGTCTGCTTAGTTTTCTCTAGAAGCTAAAATGGCAACAGCCAACCAGACTTTTCTGATATTTTTTCTTACCCCATGCCTGACTCCCCAATCAAACCAAACACCCTTTGAGCAGTGTTCATTACTTACAGGAGATTCGTTGACTCCGAAGATGTCTCTGACATCCCTGACGGATTGCTTATTCTTCTTCCTCATGGTCTGAGTGTAGGTATTGTATCTCTTTTTCACTGCAGCTGCTTGGGTTCGAGTCAATGTGGACAGCAAGGCTTTACCATCTTCCTCTTCATCACCTGAGATCAGCGTTGATAAACCCACATCTTGCAGCCACTCTGCTTCCAGTTCTCCTTCTGTAAGAGAACATTACTGAGGTGAGAACATGTTCTGTATGATTGGATGACACGTGTATCCGTAGGTCTGTGCTTATCAGACAAGAAATATCAGTAAACAATATAAGACTGTCTTTTTTTATATAGATATCATGGGAAAGAATATTATAACAAGAGAAAATTCTGTATTGTATTTTTTAAATAAGTCAAATTTTAGAATATTTTCTAGTAGAGTAAGGTAAATGGCAGACTTGGCAAGGTCATTTTCCTTGCCAGGGAGTTGAATATAAGCCACATCTGGACTACCAATTTCAAAAACTGATGAAATATGAATTTTTAAACTAAAACCATAGTAGAAAAGACACAGTTTACTGGAACACAAAAGGGTTTTTAATCACTCCAATACGGGTTCAAATCCCAGTGTCACCCACCATTTACTAGCTAAATGATTTTGATAAGTTTTAAGATCTCTCTAGGCCTCATGTCCTCTCACCAAAATAAGGGTAGCAAATCCATGTAATCTGATGTTGCCTCAGTATCCATTTGAATATAGGTTTAATTTTCTCATACCAGAAGCAGAGCTTAGTCACTCTTGACAGCGTCCAGTTCTCTACCTCCTCCCAGTTCTTCCATGTGGTCAATCCAGACATCTGCCTTATGCAACCATCTCTTGGTGACCACCTCCATATGGGACAGTTGGCTGCAACCTCTTTGACTCACCCCATGGAACCCCACACCCCACATGCCCTGTGCGGACATGCTGCACTGACCACCTGTCCATCACAGTGTGACTCCATGGAACGTGTGCCTGCTTGCTTAAACCCACCAATTAGAACTCCCCGTTGGAAACTGCTTGGGTAACACCCTGGCCCCCACAGGTTGCCTCCCCTCACCTCCCACCTGCTGGTTGAGTGTGAGTGTCCCGGATGGCTCCCCTTTCCCGTTGGTCCTGAGACGGGTTCTGCTGTCTTGTCTCTGGGATCTGTGAGTAACACGCTGCTTCTGGTATTTCATGGCTTGGGTTAGGTTGCCTCTTCTGTGCCTCCCTGACCAACACACCTGAGCCTAACTTCTCTCCTAAAGACTGGCTACCTTGGTGGAATAAACTGGATACAGGTCAGACAAGAGCCACAACGGCGTCTGCCAGTAAAAACAAATTTCCTTAGAGAAGGACACCTGGTCACGTGTCAGACTCTTGGGCATTAGGGCGTCTGCCAGGATCAAGAAGTGTCCTGTGAAAGGCACAGTGTAAACATCCATGACCAAGTCCCCTGGAGTCCAGCAGAACAGGGCTAGAGTTTGTAGCCACTGTCCAGAGAGAGACCTCAAGACCAAATTTGGGGAATTACAACATTGGGGGTAATAACAACAAAAGTATTAGGTAGTTATGAGGATTATGAGTTTTGTTTTTTCCATCAATAGATTTATGACAGATGGCAAACAACCTGAAACAAAGCAGATATTCAACTGATGTTCGTTTTCCTACTTTTTCTTTATTCTGAACATTAGAAAATAATTCTTTTTTTTTTTTGGAAAGCAGTTGAAAAATCTAAAATTCATCAAAGAGAATCCACTGCTAATGTAAACTATATAGACAGAAATACAAGGAATTCAGAATAACAATGTCCTGTAACAGAAAACCCCCTACACATACATTTCTGGGAACTATGAAGAACAGGCAAAACCCGAATGAGGGTTGTTTAAAGAGCAGCTTAGACTAATTTACAAACCGCATGTCATACCATCAGTCTAGGAACACTGGACTCTGTTTACATTATTGCATCATTGGTATATAAACAAAGCCTTCTAATGTACTCTACAGGTCCAGTTTCTAGCTAGGCAAATATTTTATTTGCTATCTTGTTTTTATTATTCATTTGCACTGTAAACTGTCCCTTTAACAGAAAATAAAAGGTGAATTTATAATTGGTAGCCCTAATCTAACATAACAAATCTTTTAGATTTGTGAGTTATGAAGTTCTCCTTTACTTAAGCCTAAGATAAGATTTTCATTTTTCAAGACAAAACTTACAAATACAGTTTAATATTTAAAATTGGATTTTCCTCTCCACCTCTGTAAGGAATTATCAAAGAGTGGAAGAAGTCATCAGTAGGGCTAGAGTTGACATAAACTAGGGGTGAGAATGGCGAAATCCTCCGACTCAGACTGCAGCACATGCACAATATACGTTTTCTGTAGGTGAGAATGTCCATGGCAGATACCCGTGTCAGTCCTGTTTGCTGAATCAAGTACAACGCAATCCTATGTTCGTTATCCAGTTGCCAATTGTATAACTTCCTCATGAAGCTCTCCTTTGAATTCCAGTTCCATATATCTAGCTGCATATTCAATATCTACTTTCCTCTATCAATTCTGAAAACCAGAATATTTCATATGGCTTTTATTTGGTAGAATACAACACAATCTAATACAATACTACCAGGACAGTCCATATTAATCAGTGGGAGTAGGTGGTCGTTCTGCTGAATTCACCTGATTCACTGGTTAAACAGCTAGTGGGATGATTTCTGCCTACCAGGAGAGTCAGAGAGAACTTACGAAGAAAGACGGTCGGCACACAGGAAAACAAAGCCAGCTCCTTACCATCCACGGGCTTGGCCTCGGCTGGCAGTGGCTCCTCCTGCCCGCCCATGCTGCTCTCCTTAATGCTTTCTATTTCCCGCCAGAAATCCTCCATGGACGCGCTGTCCACCGAGGCCTGCGAGTTGGAGCGGCTGAACGCGGGAGGGTGTAAGGATTCATTGGAGAGCATCCTGTTGATCTGTCGGCAGCGAGGAATGGATTTTCTGAGGAAGGAATAATACCTGAGAGTGAAAATGGGTGTCTTTACATTATCAAGTCACAAAATTAAACTTAAGTTTAAAATCGGTGAAGTCGCGTCAGCACGGCAGAGAGGGGTCTGAGGGAGTCATCTCTGTTTGGTGGTGGCCCTTTAAAAAAAATTCTCTATACTTCATAATGACACTGTGACCACACGAGAATTAACATGAAAATATTTTTTAGAAGTGTTATATACTCATAAAATGCAAAGTTATTTGTATTAGTCAAAACATGTATGCTGAAAGCTTGCATCTGCAAAGTAGCTAAGATGATGGCAGAGGGTGTAAAAGTTGACTGCTCACACCCATTAGGGTGGTTACTGTTTTTTAAAAACAGAATATAACAAGTGTTGGTGAAGATGTGGAGAAAACGGAGCCCTTGTGCACTATTGGTGGAAGTGTAAAATGGTGCAGCCTCTATAGAAAAGAGTATGATGGCTCCTCAAAAAACTAAAAATAGAACAGCAATTCCATAAGATGCAGCAATTCCACTCCTGGATATATACCAAAACCACTGAAAGCAAGTTCTCAAAGAAATATTTGTACGCCCATGTTCATCGCAGCATGATTCACAGTAGTAAAAGACAGAGCGACTCAACTATCCATCAATGGACAAGTGGATAAGCAAAATGTGATATAAACAATGAAATATTATTCAGCCTTAAAAAGGAGGGAAATTCTGACACATGCTACAACAGAGATGAGCCTTGGGGACATCATGCTTCATGACATAAGCCAGTCATAAAAAGATAACTACTATACAATTCCATTTATTGTATGGTAATGGCTGTACAACATTATGAATATAATTAATACCACTGAAGTGTACACTTAAAAATGGTTAAGATGATAAATTTTGTAATTCCTATTTATCATATTTTTTTAAATTGAAAACGATGCATTTTTTTTTTAAGATCAGCTGCTGAGATTATGAGATAGTGAGGGGAAATATATCTGTAACATTAAGTGGAAAACCTACATTACGATAGGGAAGCAGAGCATCAACGTGAAGCACGGACACCCACAGAGACCCAGGGAGAGCTGGACGGCCACCGAGGGCAGCGTCCGACCACGGCCAGGGCAGCGCGGCTCCTGCGCTCACTCACTAGCTAACGGCACCACCATGGAGCAGCTCCAGGGGCTGCTTTCCTCAGGGGGCTGCTCCAAGGACTCAGTGAATTAACACATGTGAAGCATTCAGAACATAAAAGCATTCCATAAATGTTGATTTAACACAGCAAGAGACACAGCAGAGCAGAGAGATGCCAAAATGTCTGAATTCTGAGAGATTTAGATCTCTCATCATAAAAACATAGAAATGAAACAAAATATTTGACTTCCATGATGTACAACTGGCAAATATTACATTTCCTGTGAGCAGAATGTTTGATTAACTGGAAAACTCTGGTCTCCAACCATAGAGATTAACTGAGTTACTTCATGCAGTAAAGACTTCTGTTCTTGTTCTTTTCTTTTTTAATTTTTAAACCTGGTGTGGGTCAGACCCTTTCAAAGAAGCTCTTCTTCTCCATGGGTTCAGGTGGAATTGGACGAAAACACTGAGGCTGCCTCTTAACAGATGTGTGGTCTGAGCTGTTTCACTCAAAACGAGAAGTCCCAGGTGGAAAGAGGTAAGCAGAGCAAGCCGCTCTGGCGTTATGACTCACTTAGGACAATTACATTTTAATAGGCAGGGCAGCAGTGGAGCGTTATCAAATTTAGCCATGGCCTATGGCATACGTAATGCACACTTAACCTGTATGGGAGTGCAAAATGAGAGAGGAAATGCTTCTGTACATAAGACAAAAAAATTTCCATTTGCTCATATGCTCTATACCTCTAGGAATCCTTCTGGTTTTCTAAATCACCCTCAGTAGAAATTTCTGGAATTTTCTCATTGATCCTTTCATGGTACCTGACTGTAAGAATAGTTCTAGTTTTGAACATTAACTGACAGCAAGATAGCCAATTTTTTTTTTTTAATCAAAGCCTTTCAGGAAAATATGAAATATCCATTTTTTAATGTGTTGTATGATAAAAAAGAATTTTAGGCTTTGTCCGATAATTGGGTGATAAGAGTTTTTCACAGAATTCTTTATAGTTTAACAAGATAGACACATTTTAGTGGTTGAAATTTCTATGAAATCGACAAGCTACCAAGATGGTTATTGACCCCTTTATTATTTTTAGGCTTGACTCTTTTTTCCTTTTGCAGTAAGACTAATACTGAAAACCACTAGCAAACTCATACAGTACTAGTATATAGACATCTACTTCTTATAAAACTGAAATCAGTTACCACTGCTCACACAGCCTATTGCTGTCCATATATTATATTCAGAAAAAGTATATGGATACCCAAAACCTTTTCCAGTTCTAGATTTTTAAGGTTAATTTCTTTAAAAAATGAATATGCTTGACTTGTTACAACAACAACAACAACAACAACAACAAAAAACTGGCAATCTTTATAGCAGACACGGACCAAGTTTTTAAAAAATTATAATACAGTATAAATGTAACCGTTTAATATACAATTGTATAAAGCAAAAATGGAAAGTCTTTTCCTTCCATCTGCAGCAAATCAATATTGTTCTATAAACTGCTTTATTTTCTTGGCTCAGAAACATGCATAGACATTTTTTCTATGCCAATACAGTGACAGCACATCAACGGCTGCAGAGAGTTGTATAATTTATCTTAGAAATTAAGCAAACATGCAGATATAGCCAACTGCTAAAAATGTTTGAAGTGAGAAATTTGGGGAACTAGTAAGTGAATTGAAGATATGTTTAGGGCTAATGATGATAATTTGAATTACAGTATACAGTTCCTTATTCATGCAAAGGGTATACTGGTGGAATCTCAGAGGGGAGACCTTCACCACACTGCTGGGGGGAGGGGGAACGGATGTACACTTCACTGGTCACGAGCAGTTGAGTAACACACTGGTTTCATCTGAGACAAACCACCCAAAGAATCCCTTAATTGCAATGCTAAAAAATTTTTTTGGCAAAGAAGTAGACAACATTTTTGGGATAAGCACACTTGGAAGAGCTCTCACTTTTTTAGCTAGGAGTCCAAATATTCCCCCCACATCCCAGGATGGAGTACACCCCATGGTCTTCCATTATTGAAACACTATGTAATTTTGACTCTCCTTAGGCCCATTCAGCAGTTTGATGCGCCTTAATCTGAAGCTTCATACCTCACCATATTAGGAGAAAACAGAGTTCAGATTTCATCAGCTGTTTTTTTTTTCTCCCAAAAAATGACACCAGGAAAACATAACATGAAAAACAGAATGCAACTATGTTACACAGCAACTTTTATCGGGAAAACACCACTAAGTTCAAAATTAAATTTTAAGTGTATGATAATTAACATAAATTCAAAATGGCATTTAAAAAAAGAAAAGATTTTATTATTCCATTTCCTTCCATTTTTTAAGCTGTAACTTACGTTATCTTTTAGTAGATTCCAGAGATCTATAACTTATTACTATCTATATTGAATTATAATAGCATTTCACAACTTAACAATGTAAATTATAAATTATACTTACATAGTATAATTCTCCCTCCACCCTTTATATTACTGTTGTCACATGTGTTGCTTTCTCATGCATTTATATCTTCTAATAGTTATTATTGTTGTAAATTTAAAATAGTCATCTCTTAAAAAACATAATAAGTAGTCTTTTCTATTTATCCTTTCTGGTGTCTTTCATTCCTTCCACATGTCTGTGTGTCCACAGGGGTCATCTCCCCTCAGCTTTGAGAACTTCAATATTTCTCTCTCATTCTTTAGCATTTCCCATACTGTGGATTTGCTGGCAACAAATTACCTCAGGTTTCATTCTGAATATGTCTTTATTTTCATGTTGACAGTTATTTTTACTGGGCACATTTCAATTGCTGTTTAAATCCTTTTAGAGAAGTCATTCCACTGCCTCGTGGACTCCTGATTCTGATGAGACGTCAGTTACAAATCTTGATGTTCTTCTAAATATAATGTCTGTTTCCTCTAGCTGCTCTTAATACATTTTCTCTCTTTTTTTTTTTGAGACAGAGACTCACTCTGTTGCCTGGGCGAGAGTGCTGTGGCATCAGCCTAGCTCACAGCAACCTCAAACTCCTGGGCTCAAGCGATCCTCCTGCCTCAGCCTCCCGAGCAGCTGAGACTACAGGCATGCGCCACCATGCCTGGCTAATTTTTATATATATATATTTTTAGTTGTTCAGCTAATTTCTTTCTATTCTTTTAGTAGAGACGGGGTCTTGCTCTTGCTCAGGCTGGTCTCGAACTCCTGAGCTCAAACGATCTGCCCGCCTGGGCCTCCCAGAGTGCTAGGATTACAGGCGTGAGCCACCATGCCCGGCCTAAATTTTCTCTTTATCTTTTGTTTTTACCAGTATGAATATGATATGCCTACATTGTGGTTTTCTTTTTATTTATTCTGCTTGAAGTTTTATTGAACTTCTTGAACCTATGGGTTGATGTCTTTCATCAATTTGGGGATATTCTCCATTTTCTCTTCAAGTATTTCTTCTGTCTCATTCGCTCTCTCCTCTCCTCTCCTTCTGGAATTCCAACACCATGACTGTCAGCCCATTTGATATTTCCCAAATGCCCTTCACAATCTGCTTTGCTTTCCCCCCACTTTTTCTTAGTGCTTCAGTTACAGGATTTCTGTTGCTCTGTCTGGTGCTGCTAAGTCCATCCAATGAATGCTTCCATTCCAACACTGTGTTTTTTCACATCAAGAATATCCAATTAGTTCTTTTTAGAGATTCCATTTATCTGTTAACATTATCCATATATTCTATCCCTTATTGACTATCTATCCTCTCATTTCTTTAACACATTTATCATTGTTATTTGCAAGTTCTTGTCTCTTAACACCAACATCTGTGCTGTCAATGTGTCTGCTAAATACTGATTTAAAAACAGCCAATTGATTGTGA